CCAGCCACACTGGCTTGCTGCTGGGGATGGGCTGTAGACAGGGACTCCATCCTTGTTCCCCACAGCAGGTTGCCCAGGGCTTCTCTTCACTTCTTCCAGCTGGCTGCCAGGTAAGCAAGTGCAGAAATCCATTGCATGGATTGCATACACCATAAGAAGGGGAGCATCCTTTTATGATGTGCATGTACAGTGCCTAGCACTCATTATAAATTTAACTAACTAATGGTGAGCAGTCAATTAATTACTGAACAATCATTATTCTTACACTGACAGTGGGCTCTGTGCTCGGCAAGACGCCAAGGGAGATTGTGCAGCCTGTAAAGATTTACACCCTCAGCCTCTGTTGACCAGCCCTGTGCCGCTCTTCGAAGTCCCCAGCACCCTGGCTGGGAGAAGCTGGCTCCCAAAATGGAGCACCATAAAAGACTGGGAAGAATGAAACAATAGGGCTGATTTTGTCTGGCCAAAGTTGCCTGGTTAAAGATCTGCAGCCCCCCAAAGGGTGCCTTTTCAGTCCCAAGTCAGAGTTTAGAAAACAAAAGCAGGCACATGGTGTTTAGGTTCAGAGAGGGGGAGGCAGGAGGACAAAGAGCTTCCCCTGAAAGGTTCTTGACAAAGACTGTGTCAGCCTCATCTCTCCCTGAAAGGCTGGAGCACACGAGGGTGCAGAGCCATCCCGAGGCAGCTGGCCAGCTTGCAGGCTAATAAACCCCTGGAGTCAGAGACAGGCAAGGTGCTCTGCAGCCCCACCGCCCTAGGTATGTGCAACAGTATCCATGTGCAAACACGTGAGGGATCATCCCTGCACGGTTGCACAGGCATTGTTTAGTGTGCACCCGTGAAAGGGACTGCAGGCATCTGTATGGGTGCCAGTGCACATCTCATACCTAGGGGGTCCAGGGTGTGAGTATATATGCATACGTGTGCCACGTAGCTTCAGCCAGACCTCTGTTGCTGCTGGGAGCCTGCTGGCTAGTTGGGTGCTCTGTGGGGCCTCCAGGAGAAGACTGCAGGCTCCGATGTGACAGCCTGCCTGCGCTTTACCCCCAGGCCCCAGTGTGTGCTGCATCAGGGGCGCAGTGGCCTGGAGCCTGGCTGCCCTGGAGCGTTAGCCTCCTGTGCAGGCGGGCCAGTGCAAACCCTTTGGGCCAGCAAAGCCCAGGCTCCGGAGTCCCCCACCTCTGCTGCTCCCGAGCCCATCCCCAGCAGCCTCGCAGTACCATTCCCTTTGCAGCTAGCAGTGCCCCAAACCTGTTTTTTCCCTTGGCTGCATTTCAAAAGCACAGCAACATCCCCCAGCTGCTGCCACTTGGCTGTTTATCTGATGGTAATTAAGTGAAAGTGATCCATCTGATGTCTCCAGGGAGCAGGCAGGGCATCCTTCAGCTGCCCATAGGAGAGGAGAGACCCAGAGCCCAACTGACTCCCTGTGGGTTTTACCCCCAGATGCAGCATTCAGAGAGCACTTGGCATTTGATCAATTGGGCAAGCAGCAAACGGGTGTACTGCATCCCGTCAGTAAAACTGGAATCTGGAAGCCAAGGCAGAGGGGTGGGGGCAAAGCATCAGAAGGGTGGGAAAACATGGAGAGTCGAGGCCTGGGAGCAAGGGTTATGCCTCCCGGAGAGAGGAGTCAACCTCTCACCCACCACAAACCAGCCAGAGGGTGCAAACATGCAGTGCCTTTGGACCCCTGGGTGGGACCCTGCTCCCATCCACGCTGCCGTGACTCCACTCAGGCACAAAGCTCTGGACCAGCACCCATCTAATCCAGAGCAGGGTCCCTGTCCCGTGTCACGTACATAAGCAAGGCGCCAACTTGGGCTGGTTGAGAAGGGGGTTGTGATTTTTCCCCTTAGAAAAGTATTAGCCTCCCTCAATTAGGGAGGCCATTGGATACAAGTTGCCATTGGATACATGCCAACTTTGGATACATGCCGATTGAAGAAAGGTGCAGCAAATGGGAAAAGAGGGACTGAGAAGTGCAGATCAAAGGTTAATGAGTGCTCCAAGGGGGGACCCCCAGCAGGGTGGGGAATCGGGATGTGGTCCCACGAGACACCATCAGATGCCGCAGGCTGGCAAGGCTCATAGCACGCATCTCAACAGCCAGGAGGGAGAGCTTCAGCCAGCACTGGGGCATTGCTTATCCTTCCAGGTGCCCGGGGCAAAAGCCTTTAGCGCTCCATGCTTGTTCTCAAAGCTGGGTCCTTTGTTGCTCTGCAGGTCTGATACTGTGATACGAGGCCCCTTCAAACTGCAACAAGGGAAGTTTAGGTCAGATATTAGGATAAACTTGCTTACTAGCGGGTTAGTAAAGCACTGGAAAAGGTTACCCGAGAGGTGGTGGAATCTGCATCCTCGGGGGTTTTTAAGGCCCAGCTTAACAAAGCCTTGGCTGGGATGATATAGTTGGGGCTGGTCCTGCTTGGAGCAGGGGGTTGGACTAGATGTGACCTCCTGAGGTCCCTTCCAACCCTCATTTGCTATAATAACCTCTCTGCACTGTAGTTGCCTATAATTGTAAGCTACTCTGTCCCTCTGCTCCTACTCTCTGAGGAGCAGGAAGGGCATGGTTTGTGCGCCCCGGCCTGTCACACCAGGTTGGACAAGGTTTGAAAGGGCAGGAGGTAGGACAGGAGCAGGAAAGGCACCCAGCTTGGCCATAGTGGCCAGGTGATGCGTTCCCCCTGTCCTGTAGGTGCAGGAAGCCCCTCCTGTGCACCAAAGCCTCTTCAAAGCAACTTGTTAAGGAGGCTATGAAAGAAGTGCCAAGAGCAGAGCAGGCGCAAAAGCCTGCAGCCGGGAGGGGAGCGGTTTGTACCCTGCAATTGTCAAATACCAAGGAGCTCATTAAGACATCACATGAGATTTTATTGTCTGCAGACAACAATTGGGCCAGACAGTTACGTGGGGCGTCTGCAGCCGGAGCAACAGTTAATGCCCTTCTCCCAGACTTGCGGGCCCTAGAGGGGAGACACGTATTATGGCACTGTTTTCACCTCCAGCAGTAGCAAGGCTTGTCCGTTATCCACACAGGCGGTGGCCAGGGGCCGAGGCTCTTGTTTGGGAGAGGAAGGAGGGCAAGAAGAGCTGCCTAAATCTCCATGTACCCTAATGTATGTGGCAGACAGATGTCGCTGTATTAGCCGGGCCTGTAGAGACTTTGTATGTGGCTTAGGCCTGGGACTGTACGTGATCTATTCTGGCAAGGCAACGCCATGCTCAGATCTGCGTGGAGAGTCCGGCGTGGAGGTGTGCGGAGGCTGCCTGGCCAGCTGAACTGTTCTCCACGGAGATCCTTTCCCGTGAAACCTCCCGCAGGGCAGAACCACCCCTCTCCCCCCAGGAACGCAGTGCTCAGAGCCGGTGCCAGGGCTGACAGGACCAGGGGGGAGGCGGTTGGGATCAGCCGGAGTCTACATGCCCCTTAACTCGGGGTGGGGGTTCCTCGCTATCCCAGCCAGACAACAAGCTCATACAAATCCCTCCTATCTAAGCTGCTCTTCTCATTGCGGTTTTGGCATTGGGGGAAACCAGAGGAAGAAACATGCCCCTGAGTATTTCGGAGCCATACAGCAAGCAGCTCTACAGGAAGCTTTAGGCTTTATTCCCTGCTACTTGAAGTGTTACGCTGCAGCTGCTGTCTTTAGTGCTGGCTAGCAGGGAAGAGCCAGGCTGCAGCAACAGTGGCCCTCTCATGTGCGATGGCGAGGGGGGTCAGGTAACAGGGGCAGAGCTGCAGCACCCTCCAGGCTTTCCAATGACAACTCTGTTCTGTTACCCGTGTGACATGTCAGGGGCTCAGTCCCCCGGGGGGAGGCTTGTGTTGAAGGGAGAAGGAAATGGCTCACGTTGCAGCCCTTACCTGAACACAGGAGCTCCTTGAGGACAGGCGTCAGCATAAGTCACCCTGACATACGGCTCCTCTCAGGCTCTAGTCACTGCCTGCTGCCTCCTTTTGCCGCTCAAGTGAATGTCCACAGAAAAGCAGTGTGGGGAACTGGCAGCCAGGCAAAGCGTGGGCTCCCCAGAGCAGTAACGGAGTAAATGTGCGTGTACATGTGTGTGCGTCTATGCACAGACCTTGCCCACGCATCTCAGTCTGCCCTGGAGGGGACTGGATATGGTCTTCCCTCCACTTCCTTGCAAGATTCAGCCCTTGTCTGTCCTGCAGGGCTCTCCCAGCACACCCTGAGTGCAGCTTGCTCTGTTACCAGCACTCTCCCCACAGCTCAGCACTGCCACGAAGTTTGCGGTAGACTAGGCCTGACACAGCAGGAGTCAGGCTGCATGGGAGGAAGGGATGGTTAATGCCCAGAGGGCTTCAGCCTCTGAGTCACCGTTGGCTTGATGCAGGAGACCAGCTACAGCTCCCTGGGGAGCCAAGTTTGAAGCCCCTTGTGCACCCTGAGGGGAGGGCCAGTTTCCCAGTACCCTGCACCTGTCTGACAGCCAGGTTTTCCCACAGTGCAGAGCAGCGCTCAGGTCCCTGGTATTGCACCCTGGCTCTTTATGGGGTGCCCATTGCCATGCACTTCTATAAATCCTTCCCCTTTGGGCCGTGGGCTGCAGGGCCCTGTTTGGACGTGGTTCACCACTCCCCAGTCTTTCCCCAGAGTTACACCACATGTTGCAGATTGACCTAAAATCAGATGCCTGTCCCCTGAGCCTGAGGGGACCTTGCACCACAGGGTCTTGGATGGACAGGAGCCTCAGACCTGCTGGGGTCCTGCAGCCTGTGCGCATGTCTGGGGAGGGTGCTGCGGGCCAGGCAGCTCTGGGGTGCAGTTGTACGCACTTTACAGCCCCATGCAGCCGGGCTCGTTTCCACGCCCTGGCCCTTAGCCCCTGAGGCTGCAGAGACAGCCTCTTTAATTTGCTCCGAGGTTAAGTGCACGCCCTAGGAGCTGTGCTCTGTGAAACGCATTCTCGGGGATAATTATGCACCACAGTATATTTTCCACATAAGGCAGATTTGACTTCTGGCCTCTGATTGATCTGCCAGAGGAGATAAATGATGTTGTTTGACAGCCCCCTTCACGCTGACGCTGAGCCGGGCGCACGCGTGTTAGGCTTCCCCTCTCATATGGGGGCTGCTGAGTGCTCAGGGGAGATGCCTGGCCCTTCCCATCCCCGCACCAGCTCCCTGATCCTCCTGGCCCTTTTCAGGCCCCTGGAAATAGCTCACTCACACAAGTTATGGCTTCCTCAACAAAGAGATTCTGGTGTCAGCTGGGCTAGTGCCTATGGCAGTCACCTTGTGTAGGGCAGGTTGCACAGGGTGGGCACGTCTGGTTAGGGATGAAGTTTATTGTCTCAGCAACGGAGGCCGGGATGCAGGTTCCTTGCCCCCTGCTAGATGGGGCAGCTGGGCATGAGGTAGGCTCAGTGGCTTCCTCAAGGTCGGTCACTACTACAGGAGCATTAGCACTGTATTGGGTCACATTTGCAGCTTCACTAGCATGGATGCAGGTATTAGCAGCCGAGAAAGAGAGAGCAGAGAAATCTGTGCTGATTTCCTATCCGTGGCCTCACATGATGGGCCATTTGGAAAGATTCCCGTCAACTCCAGCAGGTTAGGATCAGGTCCTCCAACTCCAGCAGCTCGGGATCAGGTCTTCCAAGGGCATAAGGAAATCCCTGGGACAGATAAAGGCACTCAAGTTAATTGGAGTAGCAGCAGCTGCCTGCTATTTGCCTAGAGGGAGAAGGAAACCCCAGATAACAAATGCCTATAGGCAGCAAGGGGAAGATGGATCACTGGGGAAGCTCCTCCCTCTCCCCCGCCCTCCCCCAAAGGGTACCTGATGAAACTCTTTCCAACACATGAGGAACCTTACAGCTGCCCTTCCTGCAGCGAGTCCTGGGAGGCTGCCCAGGGGTCCTGCTCACAGAGGGGAGTGCAAGGGCTGGGGCAGCAGTGGGGCTTTGGAGCACGATCTGGAGAGCTTGGTGCATGGGCCTGGTGATCACTTGTTCGAGCGCTGGGGAAATGCACTCTTATGGAAAGGGTCATGCCATGCTGTGTCCTTTGGACCAAGCAAACCCTCCTCCCAGACCATGTTACAGGTAGAAAAAACAGCTGGGGCCTGCTTGGTAGCAGGGAAACAAACTTCACAGTCATGTCCGTGCAGCTCCCCCCGTACTTGTTGCAGGGTTTGCACATCTTTCCTGGAGGAGCTGTTGTTAGCCCTAGCCAGAGATGGGGTACAAGCCTGGGGGTCTCTGGTCTCACCCAGCCTGCCAAGCCCTGTGTTCACGGAGGCCATCTTATGGTAGATCTGTCCAGCCAAAGAAGGTGGGAGTGAAGTGTGTGCTGGCTGCACCCAGCGGAGGACACTTGGTGGTTTGGGCTTTAGCTGGCACTACAAGCAGTGCGTGTGCTCTGGGTCCCTGGGAACTGCTTTGGCTGCTTCACCGTGGAAGATCCAGCCTGGGAAGGTCACCCTCTGTTAATGAGCTACCCTGCAGGTCATGCGAGGTGGGAGCTTGGCATAGAAGGCCTTCGAGGCTTTGCCGGGAGCAAAGTTTGCAGGAAGTGGCCGACAGTGCTAAGACAAGGCAGGGCCCTGTATCCGGTGGTCCAGATTAAGGTTAATGAAGTGTGAAATGCTCCAGCACCCCTGCATCCAGAAGCAGTGAGAACCAGGGGCTCTCTGAGCCCTTGCTAAGGGAGCTGGAGCACATTGGGTCCCATGGGTGGGGGCAGAAGAGCAGGTCTGACCATGACCTTGGACTGCAGGGTGAGGGGAGGGACGGAGGTCATGCAATCCCTTTGGGCCTCCTGTGAGCACTTCCCAAACAGCAGTGGATGCAGTGACCCCAGCGGGACTCCGGCCACATCCTGCAGCAAGCCTGCCACTGTCCTCCTCTCTGGCACAGTGCTGGGCATCCCAGGAAGGTCAGAGCAAAGTTCTCCCCTATGCAAAGCTCTGCACAGCCCAGCCCAGCCCAGCCTCTCCTGCATTTGGTGGGACCAGAACACAACAGAGTAACAGCAGGGCTCCTTGTTTCAGCCAAACACCTGCTTCTCCTCCTGAGACATCCAGAGGCTGGTTGTACCTGTTGCTTTCTCAGCTAGTTCGGGGAAGCATCTTCCCAGAGCCCTTGAGCAGCTGCCCCTGTTTGACCATTTTTCTCAGGGGTGGCACATCTGCCGAGCTGCGTTCATTGGGCTCACATTTGAATCAAACTCCTTGGACTCTCTCGTGCCTGTGCCTTGCCAAGAGAAGAGAGTAGTGTGGGTTGATCAGAGTGACCTGTTCCACCTGAGGAACTTAATACCGAGAGTTTTGCCCTCTCTGGCATCAGCTTCCCCTCTGGAGCCAGAAATGCAGCCCTGGGCTGGGCCGATGCCTGCCGGCCCGGTCTGGGCAGGGGTGTAGACCTGTTGTTTCTCGCTGGGATCCAGATGCTCTAAGCATTCGGGTTCCTTGTCGCTGCAAGGATCCTGCCACTTGGATAATCTGATAATAGCATTTTATGCACACTGTCATTTGGGCGTTCGGAGGCTGCTCCTTTCATCAGGAGAAAGGCTATAATTATGTGTCATTACCCAGGGGCTATGATTTCTCTCCCACTACCTAGAGCAGGTTTGTTTTTTCTTTCTTTCAAGCAACACTTTAGATATTTATAGTAAAAAAACCCCACAGCCGAGAAACATCCCCCTTGGGAAGAGGTCTTTCCCCTTCAAGGATATAAAATGAAAGCAATACAAAGCAAACAGCAATCAGCTCTGCCATCGGGCATGAAGGGAAGGGGATCTTTTCCGCCTAGGGACTGGATTCCCTAGGGCTGGGTCTTTGCATTGGTTTTCAGGCCCTGGTTAGATGGGAACCCAGGGGATCCAGTTCTGGCCTGGGTAGGGCATTGCACTATGCAGTGTCCAAGTTTCTGGCTGCCCCAATGGGCCTCAGGGTAGGCCCTTGCTCAGCTGCTAGGGGACTTGGCAGGGCTGGGAGGAAGAGCTGGGTCAGGGGGCTTTCCTTCCTATCAGCAGTTGTGAAACACATCTAAGGCCTTGGCAGGAGTCTGGTAAATCCCCTGGGCGAGGGAACAGAGCTGCAAAGCCAAGCTAGGCCCTTGCATTCGAGGCAAGAAGGTTGCACCGTAGGAACCTGAATCTGTGGGGCTTCCCTACAGCTCATCCCTCTCTCTGAGCCTGTGGCTACTTCTGCTCAGTTTGGCAGCTGTATCCACCAGAGCTTTGACCTGCTCTAGAAGGGCCAATTCATCCCACTTCTCCCCCACCGGGAGGAAATGCAGATCTCTGTGCACTTCACTAAGGGGCAGAAGTGGACTGGGGCAGCCGTGCTAAAGGAGCATCTGCCCAGCACCCAGCACCCTAGTGCAGGGCAAGGCCTCTGACAGGAACTGAGCTCTGGAAATGCAGGGGTGCAGAAGAAGGGCAAGCTCCTGCTACCCATCTTCCCCTTTAAGAGGGAGCTCCTCCTTGAGCACATCTGCACAGATGTTGGTAGCTGATTTCCTCCGGCCGGCCGCGGTCCCCTCTCGAGCGGGGAGCGCTCTCCTGCTCGCAGCCTTGCTTCCTGTCTAGACAGAGCTGGGAGCCCGCTGTATTTATAGACTGGAGTGCGCAGCTCTGCCCGTTGGCTTTGCCAAACGCCCGCGGTCCTGGTGCTGCTGGTGAGGCCGGAACAGAGCTGCCTCCCACGTGCTGGAAACGCATGCAAACCACAGCCAGTGACTAACCGCTCCGCCGCCCTAGCCCTGGATCCCTGCTTCCCGGCCCCCACGGCCTCCCCCACCCAACCTGAGGGCTGGATCCTGAATGGTGCTGAGCCTCTACTGAACAGAGACTGAGCAGGGAGCTGAGCCTTGCACGAGGGTGTAGCAAAGATGGGTTTGCCCAGCACCCCTGGCTTGCAACCGTCCGTGCTTCTGGGTGCTGAGCACCCCATGGTGTACATTTCACAGCTGGCCCTGAGGAAGAGGCAAGTGCCAGGGCCTGGTTCTGGGGCACAGGGGCACACTGAGGAGGTGCAGCGGGGCCATGGGGACAGTGCATGGCCGTGGCCCCCCCCGCCTCCAGGTCTGGAGACAAGGGGTCACTCAGACCAGCCACCGTGATGGTGACAGCTGAGGGGCTCGACTCTAGCATGTCCCCGCTTTGTTCCTAACAAGATGGGGAGGGATGTTTGCCCCATGGACTCCTGCTCCTTCCACCAGCCCAAGCATGCCCAGCCAGCTCAGGGGCTCCCTGCTGCAACCGGACCCTCTGCCCCGGGTCCATCCCCTCCTCCCTCCAGCAGAGCCAGAGCATTTCAGAGCCAAGACCCCCACCCCCTGGGCTCTATGTTCCCCCATGGGCTCTACCCCAAGTCCTGCAGCTTGGGAATGGCCCTGGGGCCGCCTGTGCCAGGAATGACTGAGGAGCTGCTGCCTGTCACCTGATAGCTGAGGCGGACAGCGCCGGAATGCCAC